ACTAAAATAGCAGGTTCCGAAGGGGGAGACGCAAGAAGCATAGGAGTAGCACGAGCGCCGTTCAAGTTCTTGTACTTTTTCTGCTTTTCAAATTTATTGCGATTGAATTTGATGTTTTTCGGCTTGTGTGAAGGGGGAAAGGAACTAGAACCGGAGTTGAGGTTCGATTTGGATAGATTATTTTGAGTGTGATTATGATTATTATAATTGGCGACAGGGGATGATGATGCTGCCGATGATATTGATGATGAATTGTTATTGGCGGAAGCAAATGGGAAATTCAAAGAAAACGAGCGTGCAAGAGAGCTTTCTCCTGGTTCAGGAAATGGTAATGAGGGTGATCGAATCGATGATGCGTTTGCAGGCGATGCTGAGATGGATGGTATCAGTGATGACGTTGTTGTTGACGGTGAGAAACGCGTGTTGCTCAAGTCGAATGCATTCCGCCTGGCGCGCGTAATAGGTGATTCTGCTTCAAACTATGGGGGTATATAGAGAGTATCTTAAGCAAAGGAGAGACAAGGGCCAGACAAAGGAGCGAATAAAGGGATCAAATAGGCGGTGTCGCGTCGTGCACGTCGTGTCAAACTGTCCGAACCTGAACAGATTTACGGACGAATAAGAACAAGACCGTTCCGTTCTTGACTTGAGGAGTGAAAAGCGAAAGGGAAGAAAACAAAAAAGTCGCCTTCGTGGGCGGTAAGAAACTTCAACCAGGGTCGGTCGTGATGCCCGGCGACCGCAGCCCAACGCAAAATCCGTAATCACGCAGATGCAGGGTCGATTGGAGCCGAAAAAGACAATCAAACAAAATGAGATAAAGACTTGCCTCGCCATTCAGATTCTCGACCAGGCCATTTCCAGCATCCCTCTTGTTCTCGAACCGCGCGTGGATGTCATCATTGAGTGCAAGCGCACTAGAAACGAGCTCTGTGAACTCTGCAAGCGAAAAGGGCAGCATACTGAACGAAAGAAATCAAAAAGAAAGAGAAGGAACAACCAGAGGCATGTTAACTTGTGAATTCATAAGAACCTTGCAGGAATCTGCCTGTCTGTGAACATCGACAACTGCTTTGGCACTTTGCACGATCGGACTGGGAGGCGCTTCCACTTCCTTATTTAGCTCCGCCACGGCATCATTCACGCCGACCGGATGACGCGTGACGTTTAATTAAATTTCATTTTTTCAATCACGACAACGACACTTCTTCCTCGCCAATCCTCGCTTCGACTTCTGGTGCGAAAATTTAGCTTGCCTTTGATTTTCCTCGCAAATTCCGGACCAAGGCCGCGCTGAAAATTTCTTTCTCTTTCTCTTCTGCTCGATTTCAAAGTTCAAACGACCATCCCAATTGGCACAATCTGCTTCACGAAAAAGAAAAAGAAGAAACCAACGTTCGTCGCAGGAAACGCTCGCTAACGACAAGCGTCAACGCCTTGTATCACGAATCACGATGCGCCATCTGACTGATCCAAATCAAAGCGTGGCTTGAGGTCTCCACATGAATCAGAACTCTCTGTCGACAACTTCATGCCATGTCAGGTCGCCTAGTCGCCTCCATTACGATGTGAGAAGCGATACGCCACCCTAGCCGTGGAGTATCCTCGAGCATCGAGCCAATCTGGTTCTCTACCCTCACCTCCCTTGGGTTCTTTCTGAGATATTGTCCTATCACAAATGCAGCGCTCAGATCGTGGGTTAGTTATCCCAGGGCCCGGGGCAATAAACGACATCTCTCTCCATGCGACGTATACAGCCGACCTGCAACGAAGTAACTGCTGTCCCTCCCTGTGTCCGATTCGGCTCTCCGGAAAGGCCAAATGGAAGCCTTTGGTTGCCTACCTACTATAAACACGATCAATAGCTCGAGCCTGGCGGTGCTGTCTCTTGGTCGCCTTGCATTCGGTTTCTTTCCTTCCCAATTTCACGTCGAACAAAATCCTTTGGTATTGAAAATGGGATAGGTGAGGATGTAAGCCGAATGAGTTAAGCGTCTATTCTCGAGCTCTCAGTGGAATTATCATGGACAAAAAGTTGCCTTTTTGACTAGTTGACTATTGGACTGTCTGACGGGTCTCAGGCCCAGCCGACACATGAAACATTGCAGATAAATTAGACCTCTATGACTGTAAACTCAGAAGTACAATTTACCTCTATATCTTGTTAAACATCATCCTAGTCGCAGTTCTTCCTCTGCATGACTGCTGACGCGTGTTTGGATCAGGAATTCAAGTTCTTGAACGGGGACCGAACGAAGCGGTTTTGATGCTTATAAAAATATTCTTCACTGACTGAGTGTCTGCGTTGAAATTCTTGTATTTTTTTCTCTGTCAACTCTACATCTGGTGTAGGAATGGCTTGCGTTGCGCCGCAGCGCTTGGACGGACAAAAATTTTGGCATTCTGTGGCTCGAAGTCCAGGCTAACTTTGACCCCCGATTAATCATTGATTAAACTAGGGTAAGGTTGGCCTACAGATTAATATTCAGCGAGGATTTCTGGGAGTGGCTTTCCACCAAGAAGTGTGACAAGGGTTGCAGGTTAACCGCCCCAAACCGCAATGGCCCAACCTCTCGACAAGTACGCTGTATACAGCACATCCATGACAGTTGTGAAACAGATTCCCTACGTACGGTTTGGACTGTATGTCCATGAGCACCTGTATTGGTAGATTCAAGTCGCTTTCTCGGCATGCCCTGCAGGCTATCGAGTATCTGTTCACCTGTCTCGAATAACTATTCTTTTCTTCATCAAATACCATTTTCCACGTTTCGTAGAATAGCATCTAAATGTACTGCTCGATTACCCCAGCGCAAGTGATTAAGGAAGTACTACGCACCCATGGTACGAAAGCATAAGGTGGCAAATGCTTCGCAATCTTGGACATGGACGCCGATCCACGCAATAGATAAAAAGCCGTTTCATCCGCAAGCTTCAAGTAATCATATTTAACTGCATATCCAAGGATCTCGGGCCCATGTTGGGATATAAATCGCCTTCAAAAAGCCATAGCACAACCAATTGTAAAATCATCAGCATCTCTGAGTACATCTCATCCCAAACGAACTCAACGCTCCCTGAACTGCAAAGTACATACGCCCATCGCCGAAAATACTTGCTATTTCTCAGCTGCCTCCGCAAGGGGCCCAGACATCGATATAGTTTATCATCCAGAGCGGGCTGCTTCTTAGGGTAGATGAATGGAATAGAATTTCCAGGATATTGGAAGGCTCCGGTAACTGAGTTATCGCTTCGCTTCCATGTTTCCCAAAACCCTGAACCAGTTTCAGGAAGGCACCTGTATGCGTCTCCAAGCACTTCCTGTGTAGAGAACTGAATGTTATCCGCAGATTGAATGATCAAATCTGCATCGTCGGCGTTGACTAGTATATTGTGTATGTGGGTGAATAAGACTTTACGAGGCAAAAGACTGGGTAGCTTACATTCTGGATGAACAGATAATGCAGGATCACTGGTAGTAGAACCATCAGCCATTATACAGATGGGCGCTTATTTGGGTAGATAAAGATCAGGATGCAAGGCGTTGCTCAGACTTTCTCTCACGCCGTCGCCCTTTATAGGCCTCATAGCAACCTCGTGGAGTTGAGCCCCGAACAAATGCTCTATGGCTTACATCGGCTGGACCGGCTGCCACCATCAAGAATGGCTCGCATTGAAAAATCTTCTGTTCACGCCCTTTAAAATTTACGAGAAAAATGAGTACTGGTACTTATGTAGGAAAACTAAAAATCAAATAGAGGTTGTCAGAGAGGCCTTGTTGAATGGCTTACCCACCAAGAAATCAGACAAAGTCGGCATCTTACTGGCGAAACGACCACTTTTAAATTTCCATCCCCCGATAATAGAGCCATACAGGTCGCATCCTTTGCAAGCAAAGGAAGTATTACATGAATACTTCGCCGACTCGAAATTGATGATTGCCTGGATATATATATCCTTTCCTCTACATGCATCACAAATTGAACGGTGTGCATTATTCGCTGAGCGACTTTCCCTTTCTTTGTCAAGTATTTCTTTCCAGGCTTCATAATATTTGATCTGAACAATCTTTGGTTTCAACGTTCGGACAAATCCCAATGTAATTATAGGACCTACCCATGGTACAATGGCAATCGGCGGCAATTTCTCCACGATCGTAGATAAGGGTGTAAAGCCTCGCAGTAAATAAAGTGCTACTTCATCAGTAAGCAACGGGTAGTTGTGCCTGATAGCATGCGCATGAATGTCTGGCCCATACAAAGGTATGAAACGCCTGCAAGGTAAACATTAAGCAAAATAATTTTCTAGAATATGTGCGCATCTCACCGAAGTTGCAGTGCACACGCAAACATTGCTGAAAATACTTCATACTTCTCAACTGCCTCGGAAAGTGGTCCCAGAATATCGTATGGGACGTCGACCAACGTCGGGTGCTTTTTAGGGTAAATGAACTGGAAAAGGATCTCGAGAACCCTAGCAGGTTCCGTCAACTGTGTGGTATCTCCTGCAGGGTTGGACTTCACTACGACGTCTCCTGGCCCTGGAAAGGCACCTGTGTTTGACTCCAGGTATTTTTTGTGAAGATGGAACTGGATATTGTCGGCAGATAGGATAACCAGATCTGCGTCGCTAGCATTGACTAAATGAAAAATTGAGGGATCAGGAAATCACTTTGAGGTGATATCAGACGAGGAACACACAATCTGGATGGATGGTTTGTGCTGGATCAGTCATGATCATCTCAGAATGTCAATGGAGGAATGGGCGCTTATTCAGGTAGATAAAGATCAGAAGCAAGATTGTGCTTGAGCATTTCTCACACGGCATCAGCTTTTATACTTCGCAGCAAGTTGAACTTACGTGGTCCGCTCCTCGAACCTACCTATATTCTGTTAATGGTGAAAGAAAAATTGCGAAACGATCTCACAATGGGACGTTAATTGGTTGCTTTCTTGCGTTAAGGTTCAAGAACCAAAATGTATGAGGGCGGCAAAAATTTATTCCTCCTAGCCGACTTGAACGACTGACCTCGTCATTTCCTAATTGATGAATGGGGGCCCATATACTAGTGACGCGCTCTACCACTGAGCTAAGGAGGATACGCTGCTAGCGACACCCCAGTTTGGAACTCGGAGAGGCAAATGGGAGATCATTATTCAAAGTCACAATCAAGAGACATCATAATTCTAAACATTCAGACTCAGAGCAGAAGGCTACAAGAAAAAATAAAAAGGACTCCAGTTCATACATTCCCGCTAGCCGACTTGAACGACTGACCTCGTCATTTCGTACTGATACTAGTGACGCGCTCTACCACTGAGCTAAGAGGGACATGTTTGTTTGGCTGCTATTATACAATTTGAGCCATGTGAAGGTCTTCCCCTGTGCTTGTGGGCAGTGAATGGTTGCTAACTGCTAATCTTCTTGAACTGAACGTTGACGAGAAGCAATGCGCACTGATCCAAAATCCGTAAATCTCTAGTTAGTATCTCCAATTCTTAGGTTGCAGGACTTTTATGGGGCGAAAAACTCCATGCGACTTCCACGTTCGCCGTTTCCAAAGCATAGATCGTTTCCGCTACAACTATTTGAATTCACGAGAGCATATATGGATTTAAAAGCAAAAGCGTATCGACCGGAAAAAGATATAATTAGAATGCCTAACGCTGTTCCGACGCTCTCTCGGCCCTTCGAGCTTGTCCTTTGTCCTTTGTCCTAGGGAATAAAGATGGTCTGCAATCATTAACATATTCTGAAATACAACAAAAATTTGCAGAACCCGACATGAGCTCGGCCCATTTGACAGAAATGAAATAGGTACTTGCTTATATAGATCGCCATACAACCGGCTTCGCCACTTTCTACTCTCATCTGAGCTTCTCAAACATTGCCACTAGTGTGTCAAAGTTCCTGACTTGCCCAAGCGCATATCTCTCATAGACAGGCTGTTTCTTATATGCGATTTCAGCAGTTCGGATCTATTCTGACTGGTTAAACATTGGTATCAGAATAAAGAAAAAAGGATTCACCAAGACGTCGGCAGTTAACCCTGTTACTGGAGCTGTGCTAGTTTGGAAACGATGCAAGCGATATACCATGTTATCTAGCGCTTCGACAATGTAGTCCTGGTGGTTCTAAAATATAAGGTAGCTCGTTACCAATCGTCATAATGGAGCAGCGGCAGGCCTGAGAGATGACTTACATGATATTGCAGCTCATATGGCCAATCCCTGCCTCCATGAGAAACTAAAATATCGTATTTGGGAGCAATGTTCGGCTCTACGAAACCCTGCAAAGGATGAGAGTAGATTAGATCGACCTCGCCATCTCGTGCTTTCAAGTGGTCGAGAACAGAGATGCCGGTGAGCAGTGCAACGACAGGAGTCACAACAAGGCCGTGAAATGGTTGGAGCTCCAGGATCCCTAGAGTGTGGATGTTCGGATGGCTCAATGGAAGAGCAACCTCTTCATTAGCTTCTCTGTACTTCGGCGATCAATGTCAGGACGTAAGTTATAACGTGGATTTATATAAATACTTACAGCTGTAGTAAAGATGTCTCCGTGATCGCCTTCTTCCATCTTTCCACCGGGCAAAGATGTCTGACCACCATGAGTCTTGAGGTTTTTTCCTCGTACTGTCGCAAGTACCCGAAGGTGGCGATCTCTTTCAAACAGAAGTACGAGGACCGAGGCTAATCTAGCAGAAGGCTTGATGCCAGTTCTGTGACAGGAGCAAGGTAAATTCCACGCTTCATGCCCGAGATGCAAATAAGAAACGAAGATGTACGAACAGATACGATATCCGTGACTCTTGCTCTTCTTTGCAGGCTTCAAAGAAATCAACCAAGTTCCTGACCCATGGCCTCGTCTCTTCAGAGAAGTTGGAAATAACTGATGTGGCTTCAAAAGAGGAACATAAAGCCTGTGCTTGCATCTCTTGAATTACGAAGTGACAGAAGGGGTTCAGGTACCACTGCAACTCTTGGAACGCGTGTTTGGTGACTCTACCGGGGCCCACAGATACTGGTCACGTCTTGAACAAATGAGAGGAACATTCTAAGCATGATGCGGAGAGGGCGGTGGAAGTAAGGTAAGAATCTGATAGATATCATGGAGATACAGAGGATCGCTGGCAGTGTGTTGTGTAGACCGTCAGCGCGTCATCACCGTCGTCGTCAACGACTGCAAGTTTGGCTGACCTGTGCTTTGCCAAATACGTCTATTTATAAACGACGACAATTCAGTGACATCATCGAATCGAAAGTATTTGAGGCTTTGTTCAGCTATTCACGCCCTCTGCTTCCTAAACCCCCATCTCTCAGAGCCTAAAAACCACTTACACGCAGAACATCAAATGGTTGCACCACCCGATGGCGCGTCTCCAGCCCCTGGGAAGGGCTTCGAATTCGGAAAGCCCAACACAGCACTTCAGCAACACGTCGCTTTCTTTGACCGCGACAATGACGGGATTATCTGGCCACAGGATACGTGAGACATATTATATCTTTCAATTAAGGACTTGACTCAGGTCGAATACTCCCCCATAGTACGTAGGCTTCAGGAATATCCAATTTGGCGTCTTCCTTTCCCTCGTTGCCATGTGTATCATCCACGGCGGATTTTCGTAAGCTCAAAACCCAGTGATCACTTCAGGCTATTTGTAAATGGCACACACATTCGCAGCTACGTGACTTGGGGGAGTATCATACCAGACCCTTACTTCCGTTTGAACATCAAATATATGCACAGAGCAAGTCCTTTCAGACCAACGTGTTATCTTGGTCACTCATGCTTATGTCTAGGGCAAGCATGGATCCGATTCCGAGGCTTTCGACACCATAGGTGACTTCGACAACGAGAGATTCAACAAAATTTTCGACATGTACTCGGCTGCACCCCATACCCATCTCACCTTTTCTCAAGGCATGCGCATGTTACACGGCAACATGAATCCATTTGATCCTGCGAGTTGTTTTCTCCATTTCTGAATTATATTTTGGTCTGATAAAGGTTCAGTTTGGTTGGTTCGCTGCAGCATTCGAATGGCTCGCAACGTACCTCATGCTCTGGCCATCCGATTCACGTGGAATAAGCAAGGAAGACATCGTTGGTGTCTATGACGTACACTTCTTTTCATGCCCATCCGTCCGTTGTACAGAAACTAAGTTTTCATATAGGGATCTATTTTCTACAAGCTCTCGAACCGGAAGCCGAAATACTAGACCGAGGTTCAAGTTACACATCGGACGCATCATTTTTCTTTCTTTCGAGTTTCATAACTTACGTTAGACATTCAAAGTAATAGTTTCTTAGACTTGTAAAACTTGTAAAGACTTTGTAGCGACATTCTTTTCTTGCAGCATTAGCGCATGAGAATGATCCAAAAAGAAAGTCCCGACCTTATGACACTCCATCGCCTTTGACCACCTGTCGGAGAATGATCAGCGCAAATGAAAATACGAGAGCGCATAATACCAAGATTAAAAGGGTTACTTATGCCTTAGTTCGTTGTTTGAAAATTGGCCGTAGAGTAGATGAGCCATTTGCTTCGGCATTAAGGGTTCCTTTGTGAATAGCTGACCTTTAGGTTCCAGCATTGGAAAGAAATGAAATATGTCGCATTGAAGAATTATGGAGAAGATGCGATAATATGCATAGTCAGGAGTGCAATTCAGTTGCTGAGAAGACTACTATCAAGTAATGGAAGGCCTAATAATCTGAAAAAGAGGGATTGTCCTGGATCTGATAAGGAGTATTTTAAAGGCAGATCCTTAGTAAGAGATGTTACCAAATCAACCGGGCTATACTGGCATATTGATATATCACAAACCTCTGATATATCACAGGAGGGCACTTTGGCAAGGTATCTAGCATCTAATTCTTGCCCGGAGTCTTGCCATGAATTAAAACTTTCGCGGGAAGGCTACTAAGGTAGGCTCATGCACGGCTCCAATACATCACGTGAGTGGTGGATTTTGCAAATCTAATAGCACTGGCATCGAGGTGGAAAATAAAAATCTGGCCGCACCAGTCGATTCAAATTTTGAAAATGAATTGACTGGTGCAGCCAGATTTTGAATCCTGACCTCTAGACGATGCTATTACAGTTCGAAGTTGCGAGGTAAAACACGTGACTTATAGAGGTCGTAGGTTCGAGCAAGCCACTTGCTCCGGTCCGGGGCGACGCTTGGGGCATTCTCGCATCAAAATCGGTGATCACGGGCGGCCCTTGCTCAGCTTTTTCTTAGTCTCGGTAACAAGCGCGCCGCAGAATTTTCAGCTGTATTATGTATATTAAAAATACAGCTATCTAACTATAATTTTGTGTGTAAATTCATGAAGCCCTTCGATTTTGAGAAGAGTGGGTACTTGGAACTTTGGAAGCGTTGAAAGTGGGAAACATTGAAAGTGGGAAACGTTCAAGTTGAAAGCGGCAGATTTGAAAGATCAGAGGTGGGAGATGACCTAAACTAGCCATGCACAAAATGTCCTGTTCAAAGTTCTGGCTGGGCTTCTAGAACCTCCTGTCAGGCTGTAAAAAGCGTAGGAAGTACTGGAACAAAATATATGATTTCAGCATCCTCTTTGATTTATTCACCTGATTCATTTGACTATTTACATTTCCGCTTTATACAATCTATATTTTCTAGTAGGCCAATTAAGGCCCATCCCTACCCTGTCGAATAGTAACGTCAAACCAAAAAGGTACGGGCAAAAAGTAGGCGCTAGATTATCAATGTCCATGCCACAGCCAATGGTATCAAAAGACAGAACCCTTCAAGGACTAAAACTCGAATGATTGCGCTGTAAAGAGGTTATAACATCCGGGGTATCGTTTCGTGTCTGTCGTGATAACATTACGATCCTGAAAAGCCATCAGACGGCTCTTCCTTTCAAGAAAAATAAATCGACCTAGAAAACAAGCACGCGGCCAAGCATAAATCCGCCCCTACCACCAAGATTTAAATTACGAATATCTTTCCCTCCTAGCCCAAGACCGTTCCCGAGTCCTGGACCAGGTAGGACACCGCTCCATCCGCATGGATGATACGGCGTGTGGCCGACGTTCTCGTCCCAGGAGTCTCGCTCCTCTTTAGGGGGATTGCGGCGGACGGGTGGGAGGGGAACAGAGGTGACGCGGTAAGAGTCTTCGGAAAGCAGGTTGAAATTCTGGAGGGTCCCTGGAATCCATTGCGAAGGAGAAGGTGCGCGACGGCGGCGCTTCTGGCTGGATGGTTTGGCTTTGGAAATGGAGGAAGTCGCCGCTGGCTGATCGGCTGAGGTGGAGGACAACGGGCCAGTGGATGGGGATATAGGCGCACGAGTGCGTT